GTGGCGGATCATCCGCTCTTCCTGAAAGTCATACGGGAATGTCTCTGTCCACTCTGTCAGCAACTGTAAGATTTTGGGTCCAAATTTTCTGATCCGAGCCTGAAATGGAAACCAAAATGATGGATTAGGATTGAAACATGTTTACTCATTAAAGTCTCTCAGCAAACATGTATGTCACTGAACATGGGGCCAGATTTTCAAAGAAGGTTTTTTGGTTGCACCTGCAAAATCTGTGCACATGCAAACAAATAGTGGGGTGCACAAATAATACATTTTGGCATGCAAAATATACCACAACTTAGATGCATACACAACTGTCTGTTGTACAAGCAGATTTAAGTATTCTGCACATGCAATTGGCCGGTTTACGGTTGGATGGACATTTTGTCGGTGCAACCTTTATACCTTTTTTAAAAACATCTGGCCTTTTTGCTGATTCAAACTGTGTGTTCTTCCTTTTCATACTGACAGCCCTCCTACACTTTCATCCTTCCCTGAAAAACTGACTGGAATGTATTTCTTGACCAACAAAGAGGCATTTTTCACTTCTTTGCTTCGTGGCTGTATGAAAAAAACTGCTCAGTGACCAGTAGCAGATGTAACATAAGAAAAGATGGAGAAAACGCCAGCACTTTGGTAACTTTACCTGGGCTACAGATAATGTTGCTCTCTTCCCACATGAGCTCAAGGTCACAATAGGACAAGGACACTCACTCAACATAACACAGCTGATGCCTACTTTTGGTGTAGATTTATCTGAGGATGCAGCAGTGGGAATAGTCAGGAAGGGATGGGGCGAGGAGGGAAGTGTGGGGAATGGCACAACTGGTGCATTAGTGTTATCTCAAAAGACGGCCAGGGCGGCTGCTTCCAAAGCTTTCCTCCTCCATAATCCAAGAACACGTGAAAAGGAAATTGCGTTAAACAACAAGCTGCATTTTTATTTACAGAAAACACTGATCAAAACAAACAGCCTTCTGCATCCTATGTTCCATAGCTAAAGTGTAGCCTGTAATCGGGAAAAATTACACTCTTGAGTTCCACAGCTCTCTGCTTTTCAACCAAGGTGGTTAAAATGTATATTTCAGCTTTCCACCAACAACAGGTTTCAATGAACCACATCTCTAAAAATAACTGCTGTCAGCTAGCATTAAGCTCATGCTCAAAGACCAGCAGGTGGCTGCTAAAGGGAAAGCTTTATTGGAAACTACAAAGGTCTGGGGAGACACTTGGTCCAGCTGTGTAAACTGCTATTACGAATTGAAGGAGAGGACTTTGTGCAAGTCACAGAACACTGGGGATGGGAGGTTGCTTGTGTGCAAAGTTTCAAAGTCAGCCCCAATTTCAGGAACACACAATCAGCTGTGTCCCGCCAACTCTGCATTACTACAGGCCAGTCCAAAAGGCAGATTCACTTCAGGCAGATAGAGAAGACCTTCGTAATGAAACTGTATTTCTCATTTCTTGCAAAGTTTAATGAGCAGCAAAACTTTGCAATGCTCCCATATCAATCCTCCTAAATGAACATCTGTCATAGCATCAGAGAAGAGAACCCATCACACCTTTGAAAAATTGTATTGTATGGTGCACCTCATACAGACATTTCTATTAACACCGACTGTATGGGCAACCCAGGTATCAGATTTCTAAGCAGCCTGGCTGATTGCTCGCCATAGCGAAGGCTCCTGTTACTCGTGCAACCTGGGCAAAAACAAGCACACGTGTTCGGATGCTGGCGATTCAGTATTTGATGCCAAAAACGCTGTTTCAAAGCTGGAAAGGCTGATCATGAGAATCATTTCAGAATTTTGGGGGTTTTGGAAAGTTGCAACTAATGCTCATTCTTCTCCACTCCACTGCACTGAAGGTGCACTGCCTGCTCCAGGTAATGCCCTGGAAAGGTCTTCACGAATGCAATGGAAAGATCTTCACCAATGCAGCGAGGGAAGCCTGGCTGGAATCCAGCACCGAATAGGACCCAGTGGGATCCATTTCCAACCGCGCTGTCTGCAGGACTGCCAGAAGATGCACATGTACTGTTACACGCTGTATCCATCTGCACAGTCCCTAGGGCAAAACAGGAGGAGTGCAGACACAGTAACAGCTTGGATTTTCTCATTCTGTTATCTTGAAGCAGCCTCACTACTGCTTCAGCCCATTCCTGGTGCGCCAGACAGCGCCGCTCTGCAGCACGGCTGTGCAGACAATCTGTCAGTGCTGGCAATGGGAGGTTAGTGGGGAGCTGCATGCTGTTACGTAGCGTTCAAAGTGACAGGTAAGGCCAAGAGGAAATACTACTGTACCAGAAGTGAGAAAGCAAAACGGCAGACGCATGAAGGAAAAATAGGAAAGAGGGGTGTGTTGACATCTGCAATTGACAGTGTGTGAGGTTTACCTCCTTGCATCCTGCAGGCTTCATCAGAGCCTTAAAGAAGTTAAGAAGGAAAATCACCTGGGAAGACTGAGACAGGGGAAAGGGAAAATTAGAAGAAGATTTGAAGTGACTAGTGCCTGGAGCACTGCTCTTGGACATGGATACTAGGATGCGTCAATGTCAGGATCTCAGTGGCAATTGTCATCCTTCATGAGAAAGTTTCATTCAGTTCAAAGGGAGGCAAAGGACACACACGAGAGCCCCAGAGTTCTCTGCCCGTTGAAAATACCTTACATTTTTCTGCTGTAAAGATAAACTAACCTTGTCCAGCACAGGGTCGTCCAGCTGCTGCTGCTCAATGCACTTGTGACAAACTCGGGACAAAAGCTCATGGGGTTCGATGAAGAGTCTGGAACTCAGCAGGGATGTAAAGATATAGGCTTTCTGGGGAAAAAGATATAGGCTTTCTGTGGAAGAAAGAAAAGCAGACCTGCTGTAAGCAGCTGCACAGTGCGTAATATTAGCCATAAAAGCCCTGAACTCCACAGTTTTTGCATTTCCACTGGGACAGACCTTTATGTCTAAAAGACATAAGGATTCCTGACCCTGAAAATGGAACTGGTTACGTAGGGAGCAGGAGGCAGTGGCATCTCCTTCCTTCAGAGCATCCACTTCCAGCCACTGGTTGCCCAAACCCTGTGCAAACAACACAGCGAAGGCAGCGTGCAGGTCACTCTACAGGAGCAAGCCCAGGTACAGGAGACAGCACAACCAAGGGTGCACGGAGGCCCGTGACAGCTGAATATGTAGGCACTCCAGCATCGGTGTTGTACTGGGTTGTGAGCTACAGACACACCCCAGATCAGTCATGTCTTGCTATTTCCCTGCAGGTCTCACCCAGCCTGTTTTAAGGAACATTTAATTTATTCTACCAACTCCCCAAAATTCATTTCTATCAGCCAAGCCAAAGCATATGCAATTCCACATCTGTGAAGCTGTGGGAAGCAGGCCTGTTGGATAAAACCTGAATTATTTAAAGTATTCCAACAGTGAATTTAAAATATATATATGAATCCTCAGTTGTTTCCATTCTGACCCCTTCCGGTGCCTGAATTATCTTCTTTCCCCCAGACCTAGCCATGCTCCTGAGCAGCAGGTATAATATTACGTATTACACATTGCTTAATGAAAATCTCACAGCCTAATCTGTCCATTACCTATTTTTATTGCCTTTCTGTTCTTTTTTTAATTTATATGCTTCTTTATTACTTATTTTTAGCAAATCAGAAACTAAGCTGTGGGTAATTTAAAACATGCTGTCTGCTCTGCATTGATAACTTTCATAGTCTTCTAAACTGCCCAGAAGTCAATGCTACTCTGTGCTTTGAAATACAAGCCTTTCCATAGAGATATATCAGCATTTAAAAGTCTTCTAGTCAAACCCTGTTCTGAATTTCACTTAGGCTGTGCAAAATCCAGGAAGTCAATGGCTTGAAGGACAATAAATCTCCTTCCAGTTTAAATCTTCACGCTGTTGGTGAAGAAACACCGAATATTCACTGATGGAGCAATGATTAGGATCTGGACTGTGCTGCCCAGTGACTACAAAGTTGGTGTGAACATAGGTAAATTATGAACCCTAGGTAAACTATGAACCCAACAGGAGCAGCGTCTGCTGTCACTAAGGGAATGCTTTGTACATGCAGACAAACCTCGATGAATTTGGCAGCTACTGAAATTTAGCCCATGCAAAGCCAGTTCAGACTTGAAGCTTTTTGCTTTGGTCTTCATCTAAACCTCTCTGGGATGCACTGCTACTTTGAAGGGCTCCAATTGCTGTATCACTAATGCATCACCATCACAGCTTCCCCCCTCACCCTGTTCTCTTATTTAAAGGCAGTATCAATTTGGGGATCTGCTTTTTCACGGGAACGATTATAGAGCAGTGAAACAGCATTTAAAGCAATGTATCGATTTCTCAAGCTTTAATTGTATGCAGCTTTTAAATTAGCCCTCTTAATTCAAATTTTAACACCTTTGCACTTTTGCATAAAGTGCTGCCCTGATTCATCAAAATTACACTGTTTATTATACTGTGAATTGCTTACTTCAGGGTAGTAATCAGTGGTAGGTATGAGATGCTGGATTAGAGCATCCAGAGATGCTGAGGTAAGGTTTCCATCCTGGTAGATCAGTCCTCCTTGTTCATCTTCTTTCGAAGTATGTAGATGAGGGCTGAAGCCACATGGGGTAAACATACTGGTGGAACTCAGCGTTTGGGGCATGCCTTCCTGCAACAGAGAAAAACTCACGTCAGGGACACGCACATCCATGTCTGTCTTCTGGCTGGTTTGAAAAAAACAAGCCACTAATGAGAGCTTCCTGTTCCTAACATTAACATGATCCTTTCATTATAACCTCTTACTGTTGTCATTGGCAGATCAGGCCTACGATAGGACATACACAGGAAAATGGGATATTTTGATTTATGCTTTTAGGCCAGAAAGAGACAGCAGCTGCTTTGGGCTCCCACTCCCATTGATAGCTCTGCAGTGATCCCCTTTTTGTTACCAGCCCTGCTCAGTCCCATGCAGGAGAGGCAAGATACTCAGGACTTGAATTCAGCAGGTTCCTGAGCAGAGCAGAGCTGTTCATCTGAACCTCTGACCCCTGAGAATGAGGGAGGGAGAATCTAGGGGAAGAGACGAAGAGAAAAAGGGTGCCACTGAAGGCTTGCTCAGGATGGACCTTGAGAAATGCTCTGTGGCTCCCATGGGACAGGAGAGACGTCAGCGTGAGCGAGGGGGTGGAAGCAGGAGCAGAAGTCAACTGGAGGAGGATGGAAAAATGAAGGGAGTTGGAGGGAACAGAGAATGTGGGAGCTGAAGAAGAGATTAAAGAGCAACGAAAAGAGAAATGAGGAAGAGGGGGAAGGCAGACACCTACACTATTTTTGGAGCCTGAAGTTAGTCAGCCCTAGATCTATACTTAGGCACTAAATAAATGTTTCAGAAAGATCCTGAGCACTCATTGACTTCACTGGAGATTCAGAGTCCTCAGCACCTTTGGAAAGGAGGCCAGGCAAACTCGGAACGTGTAGCCCAGTTTCAAGCTCTCTGTATTTCAGTTCTCTGGGCTCTCTGGGTTTCATTCTAGGCTTCATTTCGATTTTGTGGCCTACCATCAGCTCTAAATGTTTCTCCTGCTGAGCAAAGTTGTTCTGTTCCTGAATAGGTAGAGGGTGATGACAGATTTTGCCCCAAGAGCTTTAAAGCATCTCCTGCTGCCTTTGAAATCCCTCCTAGAAGTTGATCCACTCTCAAGTAGAGGCAGCATTACAGGACATGGACTGGGAAAAGGACAGTGCATGCTCACCCCCAGGTCAGCAAACACATCGTCCAGAGCAAGGACTCCTCTGTGATCTGACTTTAAATTTTATTTTACTTGGTGTGAGGGGATGAAAAAGAGACGACAGAAGAATCCTAGAGCCAACCGCTACTTCTCTGCACAGCTCTAGTGTCTCCCAGGACTCTAGCTCATTCCCCTGAGCACAGCCTCCGTCTGCTGGAAGGGCAAGATCTGCACCCTGCGGCCTGAGCCGGCACCGACCTCCCGCGTAGGAGAGCACAGGCCACGCTGTCACCACCACCCTGCGCCGCGCCTCAGCCAGCAGATACGCCTCATTTTCCAATATATTTCCCTGCCCTATTCTTTACCCCTTTTCCATCTGGTTTTCTGCCTCTTCATCATCCCACACAACTTTAAGAGATGCCCCATGGATTTGGCTTAAAAACTTGAGTTTGCATTTCTCCCTCACATATATTGGTGAATGGGCTGTGATGCAAGACAGTCAGCTCAGCTTTACTTACAGGTGCAGAATGTCATATTTACTCCTGCAAAAGCCCCTTTCTGCCTGGCACAACCTATCAACTCCCCCAGGCTCAGGATGCTGCAACTTAACAACTCAGAGCAAGCTTGGGCTGCTGGGGATGGGGAGTGCAGCGTGCCCCGTAAGCCAGGGAGGGCGGGAGGCCCTGGGAGAGGCTGGGAGCCAGGTCCCAGCACCGTGGGAGGTCAGGCTTCACAAGCAAAATTTGGGTGACTTCACTCTTCAAAGGAGGGACCGTCCCCAGGAGCCAGCAGCTTGGTTACTGTGTCTCATCTCCCCCTGGGAGGCTCACACAGGTGGGGAGTGCGTCTGCCTCCGGGATTTGCAATCAAATGGAAAGGAACCAAAATATCAAGAACAACAAATATCTGTCAACTGAAAAACAAACAGACGTCAGGGATTTTAGTCTAGTTTAAAGACCAGAACATTCGAATGTCATGTCAGCCAGAACGGAAGTTGAGGTATCCAGTTTTAATGAACGTGCAGATGTGTCTGTTAATAAGGCTCCAAGAGCAAGTAATTGCTGTTTTTTGTACACAGCTCAGACTCTGTGCAGTAAATGGGAAAGACTACCAAATCCCATTTGTTACTTCTAACATGCTCTATGTTGTGTCTTGTTTCTATGGCAATAATCCCAAGAAGGACTGCATGTCCATATAGATCAAGGAATAAATCTCACGGACATATAGCTGTCTAGATGAGGAAAAGAAAAAATTAAAACAGCTGTGAACTTACAGGACACATTCTGGCTTCAGTGTAAAACAGAACTCAAAGTAATAATTTATTAAGTGCAATCTCTCACTGTCAATGCCATTTTTATTATCAGACAGAAATGTATCTAAACAGGATATTGCCTGAACTTTTGTATCTCATTACATGAGAAAACTTGCCCAAATACATAGCAATGCTTCAGAAAAAGTTACTTTTTTTTAGAAAAAGAAAAATAACCAAATAAAAACAGCTGTACAACTGTCGCTGAGACATCCCTCTTGGGTATTGTTAAGAAATTAGATTTGACTTTTTATTATGAAGTTCCTGACAGAATCTCAAGTTCTGGTGTAAGGCCTGTGTCATATCTGAGCTGATGCCTGGTTGCCACTTTACTTGCTACCGAAGACCTGAAGGTTTTAACTTCATGCCTTTTTGCTCCCTGTTAACTGATACCGTTACGTTCAGAGCAGGATGAAGGACAACTGTACAAAGACTAAAAAACCTCTTGCGCTACTACGCCTGATAACAGCTAACATTAGTATTTGGCAGACTGGAGTTTAGGACAGAGTTTTCCCTGCCTTGCAACACCTAATTTCTGTTTCTGTTCATGCAGTTTCCAAAGTACTCTTTTCAAAAGCACTAAATAGAAACAAGATCTTGCTTTGAAAGAGCAGATATGTGACTGCCTGCAGTAGGCAAAAGATGCCAATAACTCGCAGAATACAGGAGCAAGGGAAGCACTGAGAGGGGAAAACAAACAAGCAAACAGCTTCAAGGAAATTGGTCTTACTGTGCTGACGGTGGTTTGGATGATGGGAAAGGTAGGAGGTTTAGACAGAGTCAGATCCTTCCCAGAGGGGTCTAGTGACAGGATGAGAGGCAACAGCCCCAGGCTGCAGAAGAGAAGGAAATTCCAGTTGAACACAAGAGAAAATCCTCCCCTGAGCACCAGACGAAATTGGAAGAGGGACTTGAAAAGGATGTCCAGTTTCCATCCTGGGAGATTTCCAAACCTCAGCTAGACAAGGACCTGAGCAACCTTCACAGTGACCCCTGCTTCAAGCGGGAGCTTGGACTAATGACCACGAGAGGTCCCTTGCAATTAACTTCTGTGATTCTAATACACATCCTTCTCAAAGCGTTGCAGTATTTCCCCATTTCTGGGCTTTTTAAAATAAACCATGGTAAGCAAAAATTTAGTTCAGATCATTAGATATTTGTAGAGAAGTCCATGTCAGGCATAAAAACTTTTTTCCCCCCACTCTTCCTGGAAAATGCAGTTCACATGTGGCAAAAATGGCCCACAACCTCACTTGAAACTACTTGGACTTAAACTGAAGTCAATGAGATTTAGGCATGTGAATACTCAGCAGGTAAGTGCCTCCCTGAACTTTAGTCCAACTCAACACACAATGTTTTGCTGTTCCTCTCATGTCAGAAGGAAATCAGATGCCAATTTCAACCAAAATTTGCAGGATGGTAGAGAGATCTCAAAAGTGTCTGATTTCCTCCATGTGCCATAAAGCTGAGCAGCTAGTAGAAGAAAAAGCCCCAAATCAGTGACCTAGGCAGAGAGCAGCAATGCGAGCTGAGCTGACACTGGACTCAAGAGGTGAGTATGGAGGTGAGAGACCTTACAAATACAGCAGCTGAAGGAATGGCACCCACTCAATTTGCTAAGTACAGAGAAATCTAATCATGCAAGAAAAAGCCAAAGCCTCGAGCATCACAAGTCCTGCTGCTCTTACACACACTCACAGAAATTTCCTGCAGTAAACACACTGGAGGTTGGTGCCCTGGCTTTGGAAAGAGACACTCCCATATACACCGGTCCTAAAACCAGACTTCATGCTTGTGGGTTCAGAAGGAGCAGAGATGCTTCGCTAACAGCACACAGGCTCTGGTGGCAGTGATAAGGTTACAATATAACGCGTGCCTTGGAGGACCGCTTTGATAAATGGTGCTCTGAAAGGAGTGCGGCTGGTGAGGGGATCTTCAGGGCAGGCTTCCACCCCCTGCCAAGCATAATGACTGATGATACAGGTGGCTGCACACGTACAGCATTTAAACTATCTCTGTGCTCTAAAGGACTGAGACCTGGAGATGTGAAAGTGTCTCTACACTGGTTAAAAAAAAAAAAACAAAGAAAATGCAAGGGCAAGCTGTTTCTGGGACTGGTCTCCGTTACACAGGACCTCCGATGTGGGAGAGAAGGCAGGGGATGTGGCTCCTTCCTCACACACAGAAAACCAAGGTTATAAAATGGGGAAAGCAAGAAAAAAAAAGATAGCAAGCAGCACTGACAACAGTGCTGCAGAAAGGCAACAGAAAAAGCTACTGAGTTGGTACAGAAGCATTTTGCAGTAATTTTACCAAAATGTGATGTCCCAGCAGTGGCACAATGCAAATAATTCCAGCTCTGCGCAGGTGGTGCTGAGCAAGAAGTCACAAGAAAGGTCCCTCCTCACTTGCTGGAGCACTTCGCAGTCAGGTGTCCTCATGGCCCTCTATCCCCAAGAACAAGGACAACGGTGTCGCACCAGATCTTAGCGGACTCCTCAAGGCTCTCCAGATCTTGGAGTTGTGCGTTCAGTCAATGATTCTCCGACAGAGAAATACAACAGCTCAAGCAACAGCTGTGGCTTTTTTGGATTCTAAAGTTGGATTTGCTGGAAGTGAGCCCATTGCCAC